GAAGGGAGCACGTTTCACACTCGCTAATACCACCCTTCGTCCAGCAGTGGAATGATTCCGTTTAGGGCTCAGGGTTACAATCCGCGACTCGGGGGTGCAACGCATCCACGAGTTACACGGTGCATCTCCTGCGAGCTGACAGCTTGCAAGACAACACCAGATGATTATTTGGCTACTTTAAATACATTTCCACAAAATCCACTCTGTTGTACTATCGTTTACAGCCAGGTTGCTTCTGAAAAATAACTCGTAGTTCATTGAGCTTTACCTGGTAAAACAAAAATAGTTTATTTTAGTATTTGAGTGATTTGCTTACATTTTCATATACTTTGAAATCTTATAGTTTTTCGTATTGTGTATTGTATCTCTCTGACCCACCCCTTCTGGACGCATGTGGAAAGAGCTTCGTAGCTCATCGGATTTCTCCAGGATAAATAAAGATTCTGTTTCTGAGTTTGGAAAGTGGATAAAACCGTATTTTCCCCCAGTGTTCTAAAGCAAAGTTGGGAGTGCGTCTTGTTACCTATAAACGTCCTTTTTTGTCTGTTTGTGTGTGTGTGTGTGGACGCATGCTTGTGAAGGATTTGGCTCGCAAAAACCGTGCTCGCGAACAGCACTTGCCTCAACAGTCTGTTGAGGCTATATGGGGGATCTTTGTCTTTTGTGTGTTAGACTATATTTGTACAACTGTAGTTTGGGGTGCTTCGTACTTTCTGGAACGTTTTATACTTCGTATAACGCGGGTTTAACAGTAGCATTAACAATCATTTAATAATTTACAACTCTTGGTCACTTCGATTGTAATAAGTCCTTCCGACACTTTTTTGGTCAAGGGGGCGGGGTGGGCTGTCGTTTTGCTTAAATGACCATACTTCACCATGCTGGTCAGTGTGGGTTGGCGTATTGGAGTTGCAGGGTCGGGAGGGTTGAGGGGCAGTGACACCGGACGTTAGATCAGGAGGGCGACTCATTGTGGGTGGAAGTTGGGGTGGGGAGGTCGTGGAGGTTTGGAAAAGGGGGCGGAGGGTGCTGGTGGGGGAGGGAGGACTCGGTAGAGTGGAAGGTGATGTGGGCTATGTGGTCTAATCCCCTTTTTGCTTGTTTGCTATTCACTCTCTTTGCGCAGATTTGCCGGCTTTTCGGGGGTCGCCCGGGGTGTAATATTACTTAACGCGTTTGTCCCCGCGCAGCAGTGAGCCCAAGCTCAAGCGCCCCAGGAGTGTGTTCCTTTGATGCGTCTAACTTTTCCCGGAGCGCCGCAGTGCCGGGCGCTTGTAATCTGGCCTCTGGCCGACAGAGTCCCAAGACCCAAGGCGATATTGTGGGTGTGGCAATCCCCCCCACCTCCTCCTCCTCCCTGCACTTCCCCCCCCCCCGAGTTCGGGAATTGAACTCAGGTTGACGAGTTTCACAGCGCAGTTGTGATACACATCTCACCTCCAGTCCACCGCGGCCAACTAAGAGGTGTGTCATAGTTGTAGAAAATGCGTTTTCTCTTTGTGATGTCGTGAATGGAAGTCGCTTGGCAGAAGGCAATAATTGCCCTGTTTGAAGAAGCGGTTGCTGCCAGAGAAATGTGGAATTTTCATCACTGGCTTACGGCTGTAATCCGTGACATGGGTGATTGGGACTGGCGGCTTTTTAGAAACTCGTAAATGCAGGTTCATTTTGGGATTCCAAGTGGAAAAATTAGTGTAAAAAATATACAAATGCTTATCCAAAGTTGCAAAGTGTCAATTTATCGTAAGCGGAACAGTTGTTTTCCACTCTTGCCTAACTCGGCACAAAGCAGTTATTTAGTTGACTGTGTTGAGAATTTTTCAAATGATAGAATGTGGCTCATAGGTTGGCTGCATATGCGTAACGCTAATTAGATTTTTTTTTATCACGTCTGCAATTGTCGAGAACACGTTTTTTCCCCCTTCCTCAGCAGTGCCACAATTGCCGATTTGTCACGCCTTAATTGTACTGTTGACTTTTCTGCAAAAAAAAAGTTATTAAAAAATATAATTGTACCCTACCAACCATCTCTAATATTATCTTGTGTGTTTTTTATTATTATTTTTATTAATATTTTTTTATTAAAATAAGCTTTTAATTAAAACGCTCTGAAATATTTTATTTTATTCCTTGAACTAAAATTGCTGTTTCGCAGTTAAAGTGGAAATCCGGTGTGTATTTCTGTCCCGCTTTTTTTAATATTATTTTAAAACTCTTAACGAGATATCGCTTCACAATTTGAATTGCACAAAACTAAAGTGGAGCGTTTAAACGCGATTATTGCTAGCATTTTTACAGTACAGTTGAAGTTTCCTTTTGCAAGTGTTGCATTATAATACAAAATTATATATGCTATTGTATAAAAGAAACTCTCTAAATAAGAGGGGAGATAGGCACACAATTGTGCATTAATTATGTCATATTTACCAACTTTTAAAATTACTTCAGGCCGCTATCTGCAGCAGTAATGATTAAATGTGTATAATTATGCCTTAATTGGTGAGCATCTGTAGAAAATAGACTGCTCTCAAGTGTGTTAATGATCCTGCTTTGTGGCAGCACGAAGAGTGTCAGCAAGCAGGCTTGAGGTACAATAAACACGACGCGTGAACGGGGTCTCTGAATGCACACCTGCGTTTGTGTGTTTGTTTTTGTGTGCGTAAGTGGGGAGCGGTAGTGTAGCGGTTAGCGCGCTGCACTACGAACTTGTAGACCCGGGTTCAATTGACGCTCATGGCCAACACTAGTGACGATTATCTGAACCGGTCTTGGGCCTCTCCTAGGTCGACTCAGCCTGAAATGAGTACCTGGTGCGATGTGCAAACATCGCCACTCGGGATACAAAAGCGGCCGGGCGTGGTGTTGGCCACCCACCCCCTTTGTGTGCCGTGCCGGCCTTCATAGGTGCTACTCGCTAACAGCACTTACCTCCATTTGTCTGTTCAGGCTACATGGGGGATCTTTGTCTTTGTGTACGATAAACACAGTATACACAACTAGAGTTCAGAAACATTTCCAATTGTATATCACCAGAACAAGTTGCGCCCAATAAATGTTAGGATAGTTTTAAAATACATATCCTTTTGATTTAAAGCTTTCGTGACTGCAGGGATTCATATTCTTGGTTCTTTCTACGTGACTTTACCGAAAGAACCAAGAATATACATGTCCTTGTTAACCGGGGCGGTGAATTTGATTCATGCACTGTGCTACGAACCCTGCGACCTAAGCTCGATTCCCGGTCACAGCTCACGTGAATGGAACAGCAGCCAGCTGAAGGATCCGTGTATTGGGGTGATGTCTCGTTCTCGACATCGCCAAGAGCTTTCTGTCCATCTGATCGGCATGTTACTTGCACCGCTGGACTGCACACCTCGTCTCTGGCTTAAATAGATACATTAGAACATGTGGAAATGAATGCAAATGTCCCAAAAATGACCTCACTTTTTTTGTGTGTGCAAATTAATCGATCGTCTCATAAGCTCCCGGTCCCACAACGAATTCAATTCAAGATCCTCCTCCTCACACATAAAGCCCTCCATAACCAGGCCCCTTCCTACCTCACTGACCTGCTCCACCGCCACAACCCATCCCGTAGCCTTCGCTCATCTGACGCCAACCTCCTGACTCCACCTCTCAGGACCATGCATCGAACCTGGGGTGACAGAGCCTTCTCTATAGCTGCCCCCTCACTTTGGAACTCTCTCCCAAAACAAATCCGTGACTGCACCGACCTTCCAGCGTTCAAATCATTGACTAAAGCTCACCTTTTTAAAATTGTTTTTAATGTTTAGCTAAGTTTGATGTGTTTTTAGTGTTTTTACCATTTGATGTTGTTTTTGCTGCTTTTATGATTTCATGTAAAGCGTCTTTGAGTATTCAGAAAGCGCTCACAAATAAAATGTAATATTATTAAAGGCACACTGCTCAGTTGAACATGTTGTGCAGCCTTATTGGCGAGACGTTGTCACATTTGTCAAATTTCAAGCCATGACGTTCCACACTCACTCCAATTTAGATTTACAAATTGTCGAATCGCGTGATGAATCTCAAGACGCTGACAAAATGTAGAGACATGTGCCCATCCGCAAGGTTTTGTTGTTGTTTCCTCACGAGAAGGAATTGTGGGCATAATTGTCCAGGCCCAAGAGGGAATTGAGTCGACATTCAGATAGAATTATGGCTGTCTTAAATATTCACTTTACAACATAATTTGGTAATCTGGCAGCATTTTGATTTAAAGCTTTCGGTAAAGTCACTTTACCGAAAGAACCAAGAATATGAATCTGGCAGCAGTTTCAGAGATTAGGATAACTGTGACAGAAAAAATACAGAACACTAATTGGGTATAATTTTACTGGTTTTAGAAAATATGACTTGTAAGTGGATTAAGTCACAGATTTGACGAATACGTGAAATGGAATGCAGCATCAAAACCACAGCGCAGTAAAAAAAAGTGTTAGTGTGTCCGATACCATGGGTACCTCATGAGCATTTCTCCATTATCAAATTATGTTGACGTACTATATACATGCTGTTTGCCTGAAGTAATTGCTTATGTTTTTTTTAAGTAAAAAAAAAATCCTTATGTTTTGTCACATTTTAAAGTTGGCACTTATACGGCTTTACCCCGATACACATTAGACAGCATGTGTAAGCATAGTGTTTATGCGTGCATGTGTGTATGTGCGTGTGTGGTTGTGCGGGGTGTGTGGGGAGCGGTGGTGTCGCGTTTAGCGCCCTGCGCTACAAACGCGGCGACCCGAGTTCGTTTCCCGCTCACGACCAACACCGGTGAAGATGATCTGAACCTGTCCTGGGCCTTTCCCGGGTCGTGCGGTGTGCAAAAACATCGCCACTGGGGAGACAAAGGCGGGTCGGGCGTGGTTTCCGGCCTTCATAGGTGCTCGCTTCGCAGCATTTGCTCCAGCAGCCTGTTAATAGGCTATACGTGGGAACTTGGTGTTGTTTTGTGTGATGTGCTCGTGTGCAATCGGCAGGTGGGACTAAACGTCTTCATTAAGAGAGCCAGCGGCTTCAGCCCGGCCACCCGTCTCCTCATCCAGCGCCTCATTCCCTTCCCTGCCGTGGGTAAAGTTTCCACACCCCCTCACTTCTACTCCCCACTAATACCCCCCCCCCCATTTCTACCCCCCCCCAAACCACCCCACCCTCTCCTTCCCCCACCGCAACACCACACACACCTTACATGACGCTCCGCACCCACCCCTTCCACATTCCGCTGTTTTGAATTTCACTTTTATTTTACAGCCCTTGTGACGAAGCCACAATTTCCTGCGTTTCTGTTAAAAACCTTGAACAGTTGACATCGTCAGTGTCAACATTGGCCTTTCTTTCTGGTGCTTGTAGTTGTTGTTGTTCGGGGAGAGGCTAATGCCACTGAAATGTACGTGTGAGCCAAAATATTTTATTCAAATAAGTGTTGTTTGTTTGGATATACGTATATTTTTTTGTCAAATGTATGGGATGGATAAGATTATATATATACATGTTCTTGCAAAATTGTTCTTTAAGTTTGAATAAAAGGAACGCGCATGTCTTAAAAAAATCATTTTTTTTAAAAAGGGAATGAAGATTAAGTTGAGTTAGGGTGCACGTGACAGACTGTGTCCGATCACGGCCAATTGTAATCAGGAGGCTACTGTGAAAACGCCTAAATCTCCGTGAGAAAGGTGATCGTGAAAGATAAACTATTCTCTATTTGAAAGCAAAGTTTCTCAACTTTAACAAATGCATTGTTTTATTCGATAAAGCTGCATTATCGTTGCTAGGTGTTTCATGGGAAACCTAGCGACCAAGAAGTGTGAAGACTCATTAACAGTGAGCACTTGCGTTACGCAGAACTATTGCAGGAATTCCTCCACGCGAGAGAAAAAAAAAACGGGGTCGCAAAATAATACAATTGATAGAAAAAGTTGAGAAAATCACCAACACTGCAGAGCAGAAAGAAAACAACCGAAGGTTTATAATGAGCTCTCTGAAATAAATGTATCATATAGCCGCCAGACTCGGTAGCTTATTCAGTTTTGGCGCGGCGTTAATTAATGGAGGACTCCTGAGTTTCGCGGAAATTAAAGGCTTCCAGGGAGATTTGCGAGCGAGCTAGGGCAGTTTAATTATTAAGCGCATAAGGACCTAAAACTTCTATTAACGTCCTCATTATCGGCTTTAGACCAGGCCCGTTAAAGGTTAATGAGCTGCTCTGCCCTTGCCTCGCGTGACGAGGCCTTGTTCACGGGCGAAGGACGGTGGGCAGAGATAAATAAATAAATAGCGCGTTCTCTTTGTTGTTTTGGATTATTTCATTTCACCTCCTTAAGATGTCACCGCGCGTTTCTGTGTCACCTCAAATGTCTTCAGTTCGCTAGCCACAGCCGTTCCTAGAGTCTCCAGTTGCTCGTCGTTGTGCTCCTGGAGTGCCTGCGTGCCTGCGTGCCTGCGTGCCTGCGTTCCTATCGAACGGGGAGCGGCAGGGGCAGTGCTTAGCAAACCGTGCCATGAGCCTGGGCGTCCCGAGTTCAATTCCCACTCATGGCCAACATCGGTGATGAATATTTCAACCGATTCTGGCCCCTCCCTTCAGATATTTTTAGGCTCATGATACAAGGGTATAATTTTTGTGTGTGTGAGAGATTAGTTATGATTTATGCAAATAAAATGTGAATTCACATGTAAGCAAATGTAGCCATCAAAACTGTACAAATGAGAACACTGATTTTAATCCCTGGTGGGAGCGGCGGGGGGGGGGGGGGCATCCGTGGCATTGAGTCGTGTCTAGCCGTTGAAAACATCATTTATTGAAAAGAGCATTCGCTGAATATTGATTGGCGCACAGAGCACCCCCGGGCGGGCACGTGATCTCTGTGATCCGATTCGACGTTGCCATCCCAGTCACCCACGAGCGGTGGCAGCCAGGGCCGGATTAAGATTTTTTAGGCCCCTGGGCTACAGGTACTGTGAGGCCCCCAGTAATATTGTCAAAAGGAAAGCAAAGTTATAGAGAAATATAATTTATTTTTACATGGCTAACAACAAATAAAATTCAGCGTTCACAAATGAAATAACTTTTAACTGAATCTCTGGAGGCCCTCCAGCTGGCAGAGGTCCCTGGGCTGCAGCTCCTAAAGCCCCCCGTGCCTTAATCCGGCCCTGGTGGCAGCGATCATATTTGCCCGATTTTGCGCGAGTAAATTTGTCAAAGCTTTCGAAAAACGGCGCCGACAACTATTGCTGGCCACGATTGACCAGAAACGATTTACCCTAAAAAGAAACATTCCCGGGGTGCGACCCGGTCCTGAAGCGTTCCCCCTCGCATGCGGAAACCCAACAGCCACCGCCAATGTGTGCAACGTTCTGCTGATGCGGCACAACGAGCTGCAGGAGGGGGTGGACGTCGTGGATGAGCACGGCCGCGTCGTGGGGACCTCGCGGACAGCAGCGAAGCACGTGAGTGTGGGACGTGCACACACACACACACAAAGAGAAAGATCCCCCCCCCTCCCTCCATATAGCCTTCACAGACTGGTGGGGCAAGTGCTGTGAGTGAGCACTTATGTAGGCCGGAAAGGGTGGGTGCCCAGCACCACGCCCGACCACCGTTGTCTCCCGAGTGGCAATCTTTACACATCGCGCCAGTTACTCATTTGAAGCTGAGTCGACCTAGGGGAGGCTCAGGACCGTTTCAGATAATTGTCACTGGTATTGGCCTTGAGCGGAAATCAAACTCGGGTTGCAGGGTTCGTAGCGCAGTGCGCTAACCATTACACTACCACTTCCCCCCCCCCCCTACACACTCGCAGACACAACAAAAACCGCCATTTGCCACAAATGGCGGTGATGTCACCACGGCGCTTGTGCCAGGGTATGTCCACTTTAAGGCCACGTGAAATGTCGAAATGATCGCTGGCAGGAGGTCACGGAACAGACCCAGGTGCCATGGGTTGACTGACCGAGATGACTGTCAGATGCACCAGCTGTGCTCCGTGCTGTATCAGTTGCCACTTTTGGCACGCACATACGCACACACGCACACACGCACACGGCCGTCAGCCGAGCAGGAGCTACCCTCAACCTGGCTGTCACAGGCTCTCCATCAATCACCACCGACCACAGTAACCCCACTTGCCTCTCACCCCCACCCACAGCCCCTCCCCCAGCCCCTCCCCCTACCACCACCCCAGAAAGTCAAGGCATCATTTAGCCCCCCTCCCCCCGCTGCCTGTAAAATAGTGATGTCATCCATGCCAGCAGTGTCTCGTGCTGTGTTGGTAAAATATAACCATAGTGACCACGGTAATCCTAATCACAACCTTAACCCCAACCCTAATGCCAACACTAATCCTCAATTGAACTCCCAATGCGAACCCTATAACCCCCTCAGCTTTAATCCTAAAACTAAAACTAACCTTTACGCCAAGGCTGATAATAAGCGTTTATCTAGTCCCAACACGAACATTAACCCCGATACGAACCCAAAACCAGCCTCTAACTCTGACCTTTATGCTATTGCTAACCATAACCTCATTGCCAACCCTAATGCTATGCCTAATACTAACAAATAACACTATGTAACACAATTTTTTATGCCTCAAAAGCACAGAAAATGGCTATTTTCCCCCATAAACTTTGCTTTTGTGACCAGAACAGTGATATTTTGAAATGTACCTATTTCCCATGAGAAAACCGGCGAATTTGTGTCTTTTCGTTCACATAAAGTCAGAAAATGTAACATATGAATCAAAATTAACATGTATTTATACTAAAGTAATACAAAAAGAATACAAAAGATTTAGACACCAACGCACACTACCACAGGCGGGACTAGCATTTCCGATTAGCACGGTTGGATTCAAACGTACATACTTAAGACTCGAGTGAGGCTTTACTCGATGGATAAAGGGCAATTGGGATGCAAATCCCAATACTGACCCTGACCTAACCCTGAACTCAAATAGTAAAGCTACTCCTCCAACTATCCGACACGGAATGGCTGTGTAACAATTCACACAACGTGCTATTCCATGGCAGAAAATGCCACAATAGTGGCGAAACAATCGGTCGTGTACCAATCGTGCCTTCCACGTCCCGTTACACCACCAATCCCACGTGACACCACCAATCCCACGTGACACCACCAATCTCACGTGACACTACCAATCCCACGTGATACCACCAATCTCACGTGACACCACCAATCCCACGTGACACCACCAATCCTACGTGACACCACCAATCCCGCGTGACACCACCAATCCCACGTGACACCACCAATCTGGCGTGACACCACCAATCCCGCGTGACACCACCAATCCCGCGTGACACCACCAATCTCACGTGACACCACGAATCCCGCGTGACACCACCAATCTCACGTGACACCACCAATCCCGCGTGACACCACCAATCTCGCGTGACGCCACCAATCCCGCGTGACACCACCAATCCTACGTGACACCACCAATCCCGCGTGACACCACCAATCCCACGTGACACCACCAATCTGGCGTGACACCACCAATCCCGCGTGACACCACCAATCCTACGTGACACCACCAATCCCGCGTGACACCACCAATCCCGTGTGACACCACCAATCCCGCGTGACACCACCAATCCCACGTGACACCACCAATCTGGCGTGACACCACCAATCCCGCGTGACACCACCAATCCCGCGTGACACCACCAATCCCGTGTGACACCACCAATCCCGCGTGACACCACCAATCCCACGTGACACCACCAATCTGGCGTGACACCACCAATCCCGCGTGACACCACCAATCCCGCGTGACACCACCAATCCCGTGTGACACCACCAATCCCGCGTGACACCACCAATCTCACGTGACACCACCAATCTCACGTGACACCACCAATCCCACGTGATACCACCAATCTCACGTGACACCACCAATCCCGCGTGACGCCAACAAACCCGCGTGACACCACCAATCTCACGTGACACCACGAATCCCGCGTGACACCACCAATCTCGCGTGACGCCACCAATCCCGCGTGACACCACCAATCCTACGTGACACCACCAATCCCGCGTGACACCACCAATCCCACGTGACACCACCAATCTGGCGTGACACCACCAATCCCGCGTGACACCACCAATCCTACGTGACACCACCAATCCCGCGTGACACCACCAATCCCGTGTGACACCACCAATCCCGCGTGACACCACCAATCCCACGTGACACCACCAATCTGGCGTGACACCACCAATCCCGCGTGACACCACCAATCCCGCGTGACACCACCAATCCCGTGTGACACCACCAATCCCGCGTGACACCACCAATCCCACGTGACACCACCAATCTGGCGTGACACCACCAATCCCGCGTGACACCACCAATCCCGCGTGACACCACCAATCCCGTGTGACACCACCAATCCCACGTGACACCACCAATCTCACGTGACACCACCAATCTCACGTGACACCACCAATCCCACGTGATACCACCAATCTCACGTGACACCACCAATCCCGCGTGACACCACCTATCCTACGTGACACCACCAATCCCGCGTGACACCACCAATCTCACGTGACACCACCAATCTCGCGTGACACCACCAATCCTACGTGACACCACCAATCCCGCGTGACACCACCAATCCTACGTGACACCACCAATCCCGCGTGACACCACCAATCCTACGTGACACCACCAATCCCGCGTGACACCACCAATCCTACGTGACACCACCAATCCCGTGTGACACCACCAATCCCACGTGACACCACCAATCTCACGTGACACCACCAATCTCACGTGACACCACCAATCCCACGTGATACCACCAATCTCACGTGACACCACCAATCCCGCGTGACACCACCTATCCTACGTGACACCACCAATCCCGCGTGACACCACCAATCTCACGTGACACCACCAATCTCGCGTGACACCACCAATCCTACGTGACACCACCAATCCCGCGTGACACCACCAATCCTACGTGACACCACCAATCCCGCGTGACACCACCAATCCTACGTGACACCACCAATCCCGCGTGACACCACCAATCCTACGTGACACCACCTATCTCGCGTGACACCACCAATCCCGCGTGACGCCAACAAACCCGCATGACGGTGGTTGAGCCAATGGTGGGGCACTGGTTGAGCCGAGCGACGGAGTGATGACCAAAAGGAAGGAACACGCCCGAGAGGACGTCCACTGCAGTTGGAACAATGAAAATTCGGCTTGCGTTTAGGTGTTATGGTGCCGCAGTGGCGAGACGTTAACTATCTCGCCTGGTATGCAGGAGGTCTTGGGTTCGATCCCGACCCTGACAATGCCTGTGCATTTTGAGTTTGCATCTTCCCCTCGTGGTCACGTGTATTTTTCTCCAGCTCCTCTGGTTTTAACACGTGATAAGGCACTTTGTTGAGCTATCATTTGTGGTCACTTCTGGTAAAATAGAAGTGGTTTATAGTTTTTTTATAAACCAAATTTTTATCTGGAAATCACATTCTTTCGTGCGTCTCGTATTATGTTATTTATTGCTATCCTTTATTTATGTTCAGCCTGCATGTACATTTCTTGCCTGATCAGTTTCTCATCATTTAGCCAAAGTGTTAGAATTGGTTTAAACTAGAGGGGAGGTGGGGGGGAGGGGACACGTGGATTAATACGTTTATACACGTCAATATTGATTGTTAAGAAAAGTAAAGTGGGCGAGAACTGCAACAAGCGTGGTGGCCTAAGGAGGGAACGCACCTTGGAATAAGGGCCCATCATGGAGATGGAGTGATGAAATCGGCTCGTGTGGATGTATACGCGCCCTATATAATCTGATGTTCACACTGTTGTGTGTTTGTGTGTTTTTTTCACACACAGCCCGTGGCGGGCTCGTACGTCGCCGCGTTTTCTCGTTAATCTACTTTTGCGAGAGTCTTCCCTACAAGGCCCTTTTTGAGAATGCGAACGAGCGCACAAATGAGCGTTCACGCGCGCACGTGGCCTCTGTCGTTGCGAAAACGGCGGCAGCAAATAACCGCTCTCGTCAAACACCCAAACGCATTGCCCGGGCCCCCGAAGCCGTTTCGAACGCGGTGGCATGTGAGTCTCGGATGCCTTGCACATTTCCTTCCCCAGACTAAACTGCAGAGGTGTGCGTGTGCGCGCGTTCTAAATTATGTATTTCTCCGTCGAGCAACTTATCGATCGCTCATCACCTGCAGCGATTGTGTTATCCGCTGCTGGATGAAAGGATTCCCACACCATCACCATTCCCACAAGGTCCCGTGATGCGACCAGTCCATCCCGCTTGCTATACACGGAGCTGATCTCATTGCTCCATCTCTGCAGTTGTACCCACCCAGGCGCATTCCCTCCTTTGCACTTTCGCTGCCATTCCGCCATCAGTCTTGCCAATTGTCCATCATCCCTTGCATTGGCGTTTCTTGCCCAAATGCCACTTTAATTAACAGTATCCATGATAACTAAATTGTATGCATGCATGTATGTTGCACTTCTTTTGCACCGTATGTAGTTATATACCCGCTAACCCACGTGCTGTTGTCCATCACGTATTGTTTTTAATTCTCAGCGCTATTACAGAACCAGATTTACTACGATGGTCATTGGTGACTGGGTTGACATCTTCAACTTGCTACAAACTTGAGAAACTGGTTCGATTCTTGTAGGTGGCTGAAACCTGGATCCGAACCCAGAGTCTTGGCAGTGCCGGCTCAGCTCTTCTGCTACCTTTGTGCATTTTCCAACTTTTGTTCAATTTTCATGTTTCTCATCAGTAAATGGTTCTTTTTTTTCTATATATATTATCCACGTTGCAAGCCAGCGTTGACACTTTGAAAATCGGCCTCCTGCGTGCAGATGCTTCCAGCTGCGCTGACACCTGAATGTAAAACACTGACGAGGAGACTTAATCAGAAGCTGTAAACTCGTGTTCCGGGCCGTTACCACGTCGTCACTTAATTTACGCACTTTTCTTGGATAACTGATGGTGTACATGGCGCGATGCTTTTCAAGAGCGTCAATGCAGAACTGTGACCTGGCACGGCATTTTTATTGTCAAATTAGTCCCCAAAAATGTGTTCGCAAGGCGTACACCAAACCGCGCGGCGGTGCAATGCCGGATATTTACAAGCAGCGCGGAGGGGGCCTTGCGATTCGCCCGCCCGTAAGCAATCGTTAAACGATGGCTGCATGAACTAATTTGCGGGGCCTCGCGAATTAATTTGTAACCTATGTTAGCCGTGGGAGTTGTTTGTGACCATCGTTCACCGTGCTGGTCGGTCAGGGCTGGCGAAGGGAGAGAGGAGGCGGAGGGGCTACAGCATTGGTTCAGAAATGTTAGACATGGCAGTGTTTAGCGCAGCGTGCTAACCACTGCGCCACCGCCCCTTTAGCCAAGGAAACTTTGTTGAGCCTGAAGACTCGTTCTCTGGAGGGTCCTGCATCATGAGGCTTGGCCGGCACCATGTGCCGGTGTTTTGGCCGAACGTGGGAGGACACCAGAGATACCAGAAGAATGCTCGTGACCCATGCAAGGTTGATAACTCAAGCTCTGTGCAGTTGGATACAATTTGTTGTTGTGCTGCCATCTCCTTGCTACCTCACAGCCATTATTAAGGGTCTGTAAGTTATTCATTGAAATAGTGCGGTCACATTTTTTTCTTATAAAATGCACCGTTTATCATTCGACTTATCTCGCTTCATATTTTGAGCCTATTGACACTTGCTGCGTACGCTCACCCGAGAGTAAAATTCGGAGGCTTACACCGCCTCCCCACCCTGTCATCCGATTCGGATCCTAGCATGTGGCTTTACTCTGGCGAGTTTCTGAGAGCCGCTTCCCTCTCCCTCCCACACATCTCTCATGTCGCCTTCTCCCCACTTTCCACGAGTCGCTGGGGAGTTGCTCCCTGTCCTCCTTCACACTCATCGCTCAAGCCCTCCACTCCTCCCTCTCACGAGACGCTGGGGACGCCGCCTCCGTAAACTTGCTTTCACATCGACGTTGATGGTCGTGCGCGCGCTCAGTTCCATTGAAGGGCGCCCCGTGTGTCATTTGTTGTTGTTGTTGTTCGTGGGAAGTTTGGGCATTTCTCCTGGCCACCAAGGGAGATGTCAATCAATCAGTCAATCTTTATTTTATGCCCTTAATAAAGTGGGCATCGGTGCACATTACAACGGAATGGGAACACCGGATGAGCAGAGTCAATTGTAACCGCACACAAAATAAAGTGCAAACCGAGCGCAACGAATAGCATAAGAAAGGTAAGTAGTCCCTAAAAACACAGGAAAAGTAAAGAGACCGTTTTAATTAAAAATTTTCGATTTTATGGGAAGGCAAGTCTGAATAGATGTCTTACACGGACTGCGGAATTGAGATGTGTTGCTGTGATGCCGAAAACCTATGCATTTGGAAAACCAGTCACCTCTAGTAAAATACCACGCGTGAGACCAAGCCTGAAGCTCCAACCTGCGTGCAGCTCCGCAGGCTCACTTGGCAACCCTGCTCGTTGCCGGCCCAGCCCCATCAGGACTGCCGTGGCAACACAAGCCGAGTCAGCTCTGCCCGGTTCACACACCTAGCCGGCACTCTTCCCAGTGAGAGTGGGCACGCGGCACGTGTTTGCACGTTTGTCCCACAACCGTGTTTGCTTGTCTCGCCCCGCACGGCGGCCGTGCTCGCTCCGTTCCAGGCGCTGGTGGAGACGGCGGTGACGCGCATCGTGCTGCCCATGCCCATCCTGGTGCTGCCCCCCCTCATCATGGCGATGCTGGAGAGGTGAGGGCATTGCTCAAGCGCTCATAATTCGCGTTCTCGCCCACTCGCTCGCCAACTCGCTCGCTCATAGTTCACTCGCTCGCCAACTCGCTCGCTCGCCAACTCGCTCGCTCGCTCACTCATTGAGAATTCACTTTGATTTCCCCTCTGGTAGAAAGTGCGATTGTGATGAGAGGTTGAAAAAGTTTCAGTTGTCTCAAAAGCGTCTGGGTGGCTCGGGGAATCACGGGGATAATGAGCCAGCACTACCCAGGTTCAGAGTTTGAATCTGGGTTTTGGCCACCCATGGTTGAGAGTTGATGATCTCAGGTCAGTCACCAATGGCTGCTTAAAAATAAAACCCGTTATATTAAGTTTGTATTTTTTTATACTGAATTTGGCTAAATTCCATATCTGAGACTGAATCATCTTGGTTTGATTGGGTACATAAATGGTGGTGCCCCTACTGTGGCACACTACAATATAATATAATCATCATAATTAGATATATGTGCAGGAAAGCCCTACTCGGTCTCATTGACGGTCCTTCTTGGGGTGTATCGCCAATTACATTTCTTCTCTGCGTGTTTCTGGAGCTTATGAAGAAAAAAAACTAATCAAAGAAGGGATTATTTGTCATACATTAAGAGACCGTTCCTCAGTAGCCTACTTGCTATACTCATTAACAGTAAAGCCTTTATTTCTAATGTTTAATTATACAGACTACAATGTTTTTACTATGAACATAAAAAAACACATTTTATTATGCTATGTATTACGTGAAGTAATGTTTTGGATTATTAGTCAAATAATTTAATGTACTTCATTGGCTGCCACCAAGATGTGTCCCACAAGTAAACACAACATATTTAGGAAAAGAAAATGAGCACAAACTACATTTTTCATTACACCTGGCGTGGACGAGCGCACCTTAAACATTTTCACGTCTGCAGTGAGACCGTGGAAAAACACACACGCGCACATACTCGCAACAAAGACAAAGATCCCCCGTCTAGCCATAGCAGACTTTTTTTGCGCCAAGTGCTGTTAGTGACCACCTATTCAGGCCAGCACAGCACACGTGGGGGGGTGGGTGGCCAGCACTCCACTGGGCCACTCTTGTCTTTCCAGTGCTGATGTTTCCACACCCCCAGCACGGTAATCATTTACGGCTGAGTCAACCTAGAGGAGGCCCAGGACTTTTTCAGATATTCGTTACCGATGTCGGCTGTGAGCGATAATCGAACTCGGTTCGCCGGGTTGGTAGCGCAGAGCGCTAACCGCCGCACCAATGTTCCACTTCTGCGCTCACACATGCATACATGCATGTCTAGTAATATTGAATGGGTCACTATGGCGTGTAGCGCTGACTGCTGGCAAAAAGGGGTTCAGCTGCCATGGCAACCCTGTCTGCCAGCAGGTGAGGGGTAGGCGGGAGTAAGGGATGTGGGGAGAAGATGACAGAGGGGGTACGGGAGAAGCCCAGGAACCTTCTAAGAGGTTCTAGAAGGGGGGCGTAGCCAAGGGGGAGCGAGGCTGCGCTGGTGGGATAAAAGGGGGACCCTGGGAGGACTCGGGGCTGTTGTTGGGGGGGAACCCGTGGAGCGACACAAGTCTTCGTTATCGTCTTCGTCATTGTCTACAGCGTTGTGGGTCAGGCAGCCTGTTGCTGTCCTGACCTAAGTATAGTGTTCCCTGTGCCTGTGAAGGCTTTAAAAAACCGAGTGCCTCCCATTATTAGTGTCTGCAAAGTGCGTCACTACATTGGTGCCAGAATTGCTAACGATAAAGTAAATTGTATTATTTTATTTCATATAGTAGGGAAAATGCAACGGCTGGACGATGTCTAGGTCCACAAGAAGTAAGGCTCCAAACCGTTTTGTCCTCGGACGAAGAGGACGATGGTGGGGTGATTCCCCAGACAGCCCCGGAAACCGGGACCCGGGACACCGGTCCCGACGAGGCGATCCCGGCGGAGCAGAGCACAGGAGACGCCGGCGTTGCGCCGCCGGCCGGAGGAAAGCGGAGGGCAGGCCATTGCGTGCCTCAAGAACTTGCTGTCCACTGTAGTGGCGCTGGTCTACCAGTTGGACTTGGAGGAGCTGGAGGAAGAGGTCAGGGGCTACAAGCGGGAAGCTCCTCCGTCACCGGCCAAGCGCGGGAAGCGGCAGAGCTCCTGCCCGCGCGATCGGCCGCCATTTTGTCGGTCGCGCGGGAACCACTTCCCGCCAAAATTGATTTGGCGCCAATTCTCCTCACGGGGGCGCCTTCCTTCAAGAAGGGGCTGCCCTTCGTGAGAGAGTTTGTGGCCGTGGGCGGCGACTGGGCAGCCTTCCAGTGCCGTTTCACCGCTACCTGCATGCTCGCGGGATGGACCGACGCAGAGGCGCTGTGGGCTCTCCCCATCGCCCTGGACAATGACGGCTTAGCGGTGTTTTATGCCATTCCACCAGTGAACAGGGCGATGCTGTCACAGGCGTACACCCAAATGGCGGCTGTGTACGACCCGCCGTCCAACGCATGCCAGAAGTTCGTGTTGCGAAGATAGGGGGAGACCGAGATGCTCCTTGCCTTGTTAGGAAAAGCTGCAAGCCGCTTTTCCTAAAAATGGAGCAGGCGGGACTGGACTTTATAGTGCTGGAGCGTCTGCTGTCTCTAGCACAGGAGATGAATGTTTTCTACCCGCCACGGAGGAGGACGACCTAACATCCATCAAGATCGCCCGTTGCATCCAAGCCCACTGCAACCTGCGACGGCGGGCCGGGGTAGATGCCTGCGCTGCACTCTCGGGTGAGGAGGACGATCTGAGCAGCAAGATCCTTCCCAAGCCTGCGCGTCGATCACTTGGAAATCCACACGGGGGTGCCGATGCAGGACAGCGGCGGCAGGAGTGGGAGCGCCGGAGCGGAACTTCCCCTCCACCAAGGAGGGCCATCGTCTCCTGCTTCAAGTGTGGCATGTGGGGCCACATCACCAGGCGATGCCGCGCGGACCCGGGACAGCCCTTCTCTTCCTCGACCTTTTTGGGCCGGCCGTCCTCCGCTTCTTCCAGCCCAAAGGCAAGTCGCGACACATCACACACCTGGCTGACATAGTCACCTCACGCATCGCCATTTCAGTCCATGTCGGGTTCACACACCGCTACTTCTTGTCATGTTATAGCGCATGGAAGTTGGACCTGGGCGGGTGTAGGATGCCCGCAGGGCCCGGAACAGTGGACCGCGTTGGAGCAGCGTGTTGTCACGGCAGCAGCAGGATCGTCCACGGTTGTAGGGTGGGTGGAAGGTGTGGAGTTGCGGGTGCATGCGCTACAATTATTTCAGAAATTGTTTACAGTACTTTGCCACAAAAACTGTTGTCTTTGTCCGGTGGGTAGGCCATTTTTTGCGCAAACGGTGGGAGTCTGGGCATTGTGGGCTACATATAGGCTACAATACGTATCGGGGACATTGAACTGACGGGCCCAGTGTTGGTCTCAAAGTCCTTGGCTGTCCCCTGTTTATTGGGGACCGATTTTCTGGGTAAGATGCCCCTTAAGATTTTGTGGGATCAGGGGTGCATCGAGTTGCCATTGGGGTGTAGAATGGGCTTTTTATCATCTCCAACTCGGTTGCATATGGCCAACGCCACAGTGTAGGCTCTCGTTAAAGAAACTGTCACGATTCCCCCCGGGGCACAAATGGTGCCCTTGTGGCTTTGGAAGCAGCTTGATCGTGCTGACACTGCAGGAGGAGTTATTTTAACACCTTCCAACAGAATGGTTCATGGTCTCACGTTAGTGGGGACACAAACGATAGTTAACGAGGACCAAGAACTCTTCCTACAAGTGCTGAATGTTGACCTGGGCACCGCAGTTATCCAGGCAGGTACGGTTCTCGCCGATGTGACGGCCGCATTTTGCAAGGAGACCAGTGGTGTGATCACGCGGGTCGTGGCCGCGGTGGAGCAGGGAGGCGAGCCAGATGAGTCATGGATGGATGAGCTGTGCTCCAAAAATCCCGATTTACCTGGTCAGCAGCAAAGCGAGTTGCGTGCATTGCTCCGGGAATTCATGGACATTTTCAGTCAGGACAGATATGACATTGGCCGCACATCCCTTATGCAGCACCACATTGACACGGGTAACGCTGCTCCCATTCGCCAAAATTCATATAGGCTAAGCCCCACGGAGAAGGACCACGTTCGCCAAGCAGTTGACAAGATGTTGGTCGCCGACATCATCTCCCCTTCCACCAGTCCGCGGGGAGCTTCGATGGTGCTTGTTAAAGAGCATGATCGGAGTTTGCAATTTTGCGTTGATTTCCACAAGTTATAAACAAGGTCTCCATGGCGGATGCGTACCCGCTCCCATGGATGATCGATTCATTGGGATGCCCTGTCAGGTGTTCGGTTATTCTCCAGACTTGACTTGTTGTCGGGGTTCTGGCAGTTGCCCTTGGAAGAGAGTTCCAAACCAAAAACCGCGTTCAGAACACCACAGGGTTTATTTCAATTTAAATGCCTTCCCATGGAACTTCACTCGGCCCCAGCCATGTTCCAGCGACTTATGGAGCTGGTTTTAGCGGGCCTCCAATGGGACTCGTGCCTTATCTGGATGACGTGATCATCTTTGAACGCACGTTCCGGGAGCACCTGCAGAGGTTGCGGTGAGTGTTTGTCAGGGTACGGGCGGCCAATCTCAAGTTTAAACCACAGAAGTGCCACCTCTTGTAAAGGCCGGTTCACTACTTGGGTCACATCGTTAGCGAGTCCGGGATAGCCACGGACCCCGACAAAACTGCGTGCGTGCGCACGTGGCCAATCCCCACGTTGGTGGGTGAAGTTTTGTCGGGTTTGCGTCGTATTACCATCGCTTTGTGCCAGGGTTTTCTACGATTGCAAAACTGCTCAACACGCTCACCGCAAAAGGTCAAAGATTTCAGTGAGGGGAGGAGGAGGAGGAAGCCGCTTTCATTGCGCTGTGCGTCGGCCTTTTCAATGCACCTCCCCTTGAGTACCCCAAGTTTTCACTACCATTTCTT